GTAGGTATTTTGAAGGCTAGGTTTAACACTAGCTGCTAACTTTTCTTTATTGCAACTTTTATTTTGTGTAAATGGTGAAATATCTTTTGGTGCAATTGAACCACAAGTTATTTTCAATCCAATTTCCTTGATAGTGTTTTTAGATCGTTTCCATCCACACTGATCTTTAATTTTTATTCAATTTGTAATTTCATAGTCTTCAATCAATCTTTTCCTGAAACGCCAGATGAAACGTGAAGGAAGGACAATTTGGCATCGAGCGGTACTAAACTCCAATCAATCTTTTCCTATCATTTAAAAAAAAACTAATTCTCTACGAAGTACGATTAAGACCATGTCGAGTATAATTCCTTGATGGTTTGATCAACGTGGTGTGACTGGTTTTGAATTCCTGCCTTCATGGTACGTTTCTGATTTGTTCTATGTTCTTAAATTTTTTTTTTTGTTCTGTTTCCTGTATACTTTCATAGCTTCAATTTCGATTTTCTATGCTCTCCTTTTATGTGTTTGTTCATTTTTTTCCATTCTTTTTTTCTTGGCTCTCTATGTGATCTGTTTTTAGCTTTTTGTATCTAATCTGTGAGTGATAAAGTATGCGCAAAGGCGTTATGTTTTGAGGATGTATCATGTATGCGCAAAGGCGTTATGTTTTGTTTGGTGTTTTGTTACAATTACAAATCTGTACGGAGTTGTGTTACATGACACTTCAATTTAGTTTAATCATGTTGAGCTTTTAGATTCTGTTAAGTTGTTTGTTTTGTGAACAAAAATCGTTTGTTTTCATTTTCTTTAAGCACATGGACCGGGCAGTGTCGGAGAAGGGATTAAAGGTATTTGTTTCCTTTGTCGGTGGTTATAAGGAGCATCGCTCTTACATTTTCAGGTACATGATGCTCTTACATTTTCAGGTACATGATTTTTTCTATTGTTTCCAAATATTTTCTCTAAAACTTTTCTAACTCAAAAAGTTTTACTAAAAAACAATGTTGGTGGGTTTTTTTTTCGCAGATGGGAAGCCAAATTCATGAACCACATGGCTCAGATCTCCTAGAAGTTCCATCAAGCTTGATGACATGTGGAGAAGCCCAGACGGCAAGACAAGGTCAATAGAAGATCAAGAAACGTATAACATCAATGAATGGCTCATAGGAGGTGCAATGCATAAATTCAATGGTATTAAAGAGCAAGATATGGTTTTAATTTGGACTATAATTTTTCTTTGTACTTTTTTTTGTGAAATCATTAATAGATTGACTCATGAAGAGGGGAACACAACATTTGTGATGTGACTAATATCCCCTTCCTATTAAAAGAAAATTAAATTTATTAGGTTTGCTTATTTGTTTTAAATTCATTGGTTGAAAACTATGATGTGGCAAAGAAAAAAGATGATATGTCTCCAAAAAAAATATGACATGGCAAAAAAGTTTATGAGTTTCCTTTTATTATAAACAATAGTCTAAATTCAGATTTTTATTTTATTTTTTTGAAAAAACTTCATCAATAGGCAAAAAAAAAAACACATGGAACAAAAAATCCCCAAATAATCTCCAATTGCAACATTTTTTTTAGTATAACCCTCACGTTTTCTGTTTTTAATGAACCAATTTAACGTGTTATTATTATATTTCAAAATACATTTATTAATATTTTTGAATTTTTTTTTGACAAATTAATAGATTTGATATTTATTAATATATTTTCAATATTTTTGATATAAGAAACTACATTTGAGAAAAACATATTCCAATATTCTTAGAATATTTAATCTTCCTATAGTAAGAAATTTCAAAAACAGAAAATCTAATCAGGCATCCCGTTAATTAATGACGTATATCTCTAAAATATATCACAATCCAATAAATAAAATCCTATTAATGTGTGTTTCTAAAACATAAAATCTTCGAATTTAAAACACAATCTCGAGATATTGTTGTGCACCAAGATTTACTCAATCCCAGTTTGAACTATATGAATTTCAAAATGCTGTTATATATGTACAT